TAGATATCTCATCTGTACAGCACTGAGAGTCCTTAGGGATTTAGCAATCTATAATAATACATCTATAGTTATGGCAGCAAGTATGGTAGTGGTGGATTGTGGAGGTCAGAAGAAAATAAAATGCAGAAGGTACTGGCAGTGATGTTTAGCCTGTAAACAGTGACTGACTCACAAAGCAGTTGTTAAGTGCAATATCAATAATACTGGCCTGGGTAAAACATCTTCCTGTCTCTCCCCTCTGGGGTCCAGGGATACTTGGGGATCTAAAGGTCAGCCACATGTGCAGCTTCATTCATTCAATATGGCCAAACTTTTCTTCTCATTGAAATAAAAATAGAGAGTGTCACTTGTTATCTTTGCTGCTGGCTGGTGTAGAGGAATAAGGAGAGGAAGGAATGCAAGAATCATTAAGTAAAGATCAACTTATCCCTGGAAGGAAGAAGAGGTGAGAGAGTAACTCAAGATAACCCTGACTTGATTCTGTTTGGTATAAGAGGGGCAGAGGGAAACTTTGACAAGTTTTCAAAATTCTGTGGTTATACCCTGTAATAGTAGAATTCCAATAGCCTGTTTCCTGGCCTGGCCTACCTCAAAGGGCTGACACCTGATAAAAGGAGGCAGCAAGAAGGGAAATTGCATGTCCTACAGGGGAGAAGACATATGGGTCTACATTACTGCATATTGGAAACTAGCACAGCTTATACAGAAGTGTGAATAGAAACTAGCCAATGGCTATTGCACAGTAAAAAAGCACAATGTGACCAAAAATTGCCTAGTCTTACTGAAAAATGTAGATGGTACATACATTCCATAGTTCCATAACTGAAAATCAATTATCTGATGAATTTATTGATTGATTTGAAAACATTATTTAAAAAAAAAACATGCAAACTGCTTTTCTTTAGGTAAAGCTGGTTAGCATTGATGCATCTGAAATAGCAGATGGGAACTCCTCCATGGTACTGGGCCTGATATGGAACATAATCCTGTTTTTTCAGGTAAAAAAAAAACTGATGCTGTAATTCACATGTTTTTCGCTTTCAACAGAAAACATATTGGTATGCATAAAAGGATACAAATTAAATAGATGCTTGCTGTCATCTGTATCTTTTTGTCTAACTCTTTGATTTGTGGGCATTAAAAACATTGCAAAGTTTGGGTCAGCGGCAGTGATCCCAACACCTTATTACCTCTTTCTTTCCTCCATTCCCCTTCCTCCTCTGGTCCTTTCCTTTGCCCTCACAAACGGTTTGCTTCATCAAATTACTTGAGTCTGGCCAAAATGCTTCTGGTTCTGATCCAAATCTTAGATCAGTCTCCCATTTTTGTGCTGAAAATGAATGATCATTGCATTCTTTATTTTAATAGTGTGCATCTTGCCAATTATGCTTTAAAACAGAGATGCAGAACTTGGGGCCCCAGTTAGGTTGCAATCAAACCCTCAATTCTCAGATGTAGGTCCCAGAAACCCTTAAAAAGTTGCCAACAAATTGTCATTTTTCTTTTGGTAGAAGGGGAAAAAATTAATACATGGGGATTATGTAGTACTATACATACATATCAATGTAATGCATTTTTACTTACATTTACATTAACGTTAAATCAAATTTAGGTGTTACTCTTGGCCCAATCCACATTATGCCCTGTCCTCATCTAATATTTGGAATGTGATTCCCCAACATGACACACAAAAGCCAAGTGCAAGACTCGGTCAAAAAATAAAAGTTGCGCACTCCTTTTTTAAACAGTTTTAGAAGTGTTTTGTTTCACTATATTAAGATTGAAATTAAACCTTGAAATGCCACACATTGATTTACCCATGTAGGTGACATGCTTCCAACTATTTAAAAACACCAGTCCAGTGGAGATCTGACTCATCTCATCTTAACCATATTTTATGCATTGGAAACCAGGTTTTGGGCCACAATACTCACCCATTCCTACCCTCTTCAAATGTTGCTGTTCCTCCCCCTCTCAAATAACTTTTAATGTGATTGAAAGTTCTATTTATGCCACTTCAATAGATTGAAAATGCTACCCAGATTAGCCAAATGTGGAAATCAGGACTTGAAAACCTTTCTAGGAAGGAGAACAGCAGGTACTTCAAACCTAATCAGTACACTGCGGGATCCACCTAAGCAGCTCATATGGCTCTTGAGAAAATTTGAGCCTTTTCCAGGAGGAGAGAATTGTCAGTTTTGTAGAAAATATTTAATCATAATAGCCTATTCAATCTATTGTCTTAGCCAGAAGCTGTAGCAATCAGCATTGAACAGCTCACATATACCAATAGCACAAATATCTGAAGTAGAATACTAACATAAAACCTTAATTAAAATTTTAAAATCCAATTTGTCTTGGACAAATCTTGCATGCATCTTAAAATTCTTCCTTTTTACAGACATTGTAAAAAAAATATTTATATCCTGCATAACTATGTCAAGCTTAATTCTAGATGTATTAAAATATATCTTTAGAAAACTGGTTGATGTTAGAGGTTGTATCCACTGATGGCTTTGAATTAAGTGGGAATTGTTTCTGTTCATTCTAATTTGGGCACCTGTGTTTTGCTGACACTCACAAGCCCCTCCAGCCAGTGAAAAGGTTTTGGTATATTCTCTAGATTTTACTTGTTTATTTTAATTTATTCAATTTATATAGCTGTCCATCTCACATACATGACTCTGGGCAGATCACACAGTTAAAAAACAAAACAAAAACAAAAACAAACAAAAAAATCCCCTGAAACAAAACAGATATAAATGAATAATCAAAGAATAAATAACAGTTACAAATAAATAACTAAACAATAACAACAAAAACACATTAAAACGATTAGATAAAACATTGTGGATTTAATGTAAGGAAGATTGGGGAAATTTAGAAGCGCTGATCTTCAGAAGAGTCATCTTTATGTATAGCCTTGTAGTTCTCTTAAAGGAAAATGTTCTTGCTATTGGTTATACTTGTTAAAATATTGTATGTATTTGAACTGGGGCTTTGCACTGCCTGAATTTGAAAGCACAAACATAGTACCTTTTTGAAACTTCTTAAATCAGCCACACCTTTACAGAATCAGGCAGCTGTCCTTTATAGCTGATAGGTGAGCCTACAAAAAGACATGTGTAGATTTAGGATGTGATGACATTGGTGCTCCTGCATGCTCCAAAGCACCTTTTTACCCTCAAATTCAAAGCACTGCACAGCCCTAACTATATATACACCATAATTACCCTGAAAGTAATGCATTATTAAGTGAGCTTATCTTTTAGAACAGCCACAAATGGTCATAGTTCTTTAATCTAGCCTTCTCTAACCTGGTGTCTTCCAAGTATAGCAGGGACTATTATGAAAGTGTAATCTCAGCATAACTGGAGGGTATCAAATTAGGGAAGTACTCCTCTGGAACTGAACCCCAGTTTGCTAGATCATCTTTTCTCTAATTTTAAGGAAGGCAGTGAAATCTGTAGGACATTTTAGGATTAAGTCTACATGAGAACTTGATAGCCAGCAGGAGAGCACATGAAAATGTGCCCTCTTGTACCTAACATAAATAATTTACATTTCTTTTTAAAAAATATCTATTGAAACCATATTTCTGCTCAATGGTCAATGATCAACCACGTTACTTAAAGTGAACATATTACTTTGCAGTGTTTGGAAGGAAAAAATACCTGTTGGTGACAAAGGGAGTCTGTTAAAATCACGAGTGTTGTTATTCTCATGAATGTGCTTCAAAAAGTATGAAGTGCAGCATTCAGCCTTGCAGATTTAGACTGAATATTTGCCTGGGCAGGATTGGTCAAATTATGATGGTGATGATGATGATGTGTTTTTATAGTGTTGTTAAAACCATTATAGCTACTAAATAAACATATTCAGTCAGCTAAAAAAAATCTAACTATTGTACAATGCTTAACATCTTTATTATTTTTCCTCAAAAAGGCCAAATCAAAATAAATATCCTTTGCTAGGGGAAGGGAAAAAACTGACAACATAATTTCCAACCAAGCACTTTCTGAGTATATATTCAGAATGGGCCAAACTTGATAGGATAATCATACAGTAGCTCTGTGAATCTGGTAAGGAGGAAAAAAGGTTACCAATTCCTTTCAACTATTTTACCATTTACAAGTTTCCTTCAGGCTGCCTCCATTCAGCTACTATTTCCTAAACATGATTCTTCCTTTAAAGGTGAGCCAAATTTTCAAATGGCAAAATGGAAACTAACAAGCCAGGAAACGAGAGGACATTCCCCCCTCCCTCGCCCCCATCTGTTAAAAAGTAAATATGTAAGGCCTTTGAAAGGCAAAGACAATTTTCCGTGCCTGGTGCTGCCTATTGCTATTGCTCATCAGAAAATCAGGTTGTTTAGCCTGCTCTGCTACAAAGTGACACTGGCATTGATCTTAACATTGTCTCATTGATATTATGTCATCCTGAAAATAAATTCTTCATAAAGTTTAACTAACATTGGACTCCAAACTGCGCCTGCTCCTTGCCACTTATTATCTGTTCCAAACTCTGGAGTAATTTTTTCTTTCATTCTACCATTTGGTAATTTTCCACTAAAAAAAGCAGTTTGCTGCATTCTAATGAATCATGTTATTGCAGTATATGAGGTAATCTATATTTAGTAGAAATCTTATTTTTCTTAACATGTTGGGGTCCGTCCCCCCCCCGAATGCTTATGGGGGAAAATGTGCTGCTCTGTTCTAGCACAAACAAGGGTTTGGAGCAGAGTTCATGGGAACTCTGCTATAGGAAGGCAGAGAGGTAGTTTATATTAATTCCCCTGAAAATCTTATGTTCGAGGATATAGGCCTTTCAGATAGCATGGCAGATACAGGGAGTCCCTGGGTTAAGAACACCTGGTTTAAGGATGACCCATAGTTAAGAATGGAG